AACGGCTCCTTCCCTTTCCGGCTTTGCTCACGGAATCCGCGTTGCATCGGGTCACCGCGCTGCGGAAGAAGCGAGTTCCCAGCTTACTGCCCTGAAAACCTGACGAAACATTAACAAGACTTGTAGTTGGAATGCCTGGAAAAGTGTTGTTCTAATTTTGGCATAAAGAAACCTTTGGAACGCAGACTACCCTGGGGTTTCTAACTTCTCTGACTTGTGTAAGCTCTACAATAGTTCCCGCATGTGCTTACGTGCACCCAGCTGCAAGCTGCCAGACAGTGCGGGGACTGTGAGCTCTGCAGAATCTCGGTCCTTCCGCAGTAAGTTACGGAAATGCAAATAAACATTTATACAAGAGAGATCTAATGAGCGATTTGTAGAATGCTAACGGAAACGGAAGGCAGGGAGCGTTCTCTTGTGGTTTGTTTGTTTTTAAATAAAGGCTTTAGACCCGGGTAATAATCAAGGAAAAATTATACTTTACAAGACAGTTAATCTTGTTTCTTTTCGGCATAAATACATTGATTACAGGGACAGGCTTAAGAATTTTACAGGCTTTAAATAGGACCCTTGGGACATAAATTATTATGCAGCAAGACTACATGTAACTCTGCATTAACATTTGCAGACAGGTATCCCTATTTGGTGCTGCTATAGCATTCGTTAGACTTAATTAGGATAAAGCAATATTCAGAACCTTGTTCCCCCTTTTTACTTTACCAACATCTCTTCTAGGATGGTTTTGGTTTGGATTCAAATACGAACAGAGAGCAGACCCTCTCTCTAAATGGAGACTGTGACAAGGGAATAGACTTCTCCAAAATGTGCAATTCAAATCAAGAATATTACTTGAAGCTGGAAGAGTTGAAGAATGCCCACTTGGAGACCATGGCAAAATTAGAAAGCATGTATCGGAATAAACTGTATTTAAAAGTACAACCCTCAGACAAGAAAAATGCTGCTTCTAACACGTGCTGTAGGTAAGTTTTGTGTTACCTTGTATCTGAAGATTCTTAAATACTTTGCAGACATCTGTAAACCAGCAGGTTCTTTTTCTGTGGCTGGAAAGCATTCCTTTCCTCATTTCCTATAAGCAGATAACCACAGAAAGGTTAGTTTTAAGAATAAAAATGCTTGCCCACCTTGCTGACAGACTGAGAGATTTACAAGTATGTGCACGGCGGAGACTGGGCACCACATTTGGTGAAGATTCTTAAATACTTTGCAGACATCTGTAAACCAGCAGGTTCTTTTTCTGTGGCTGGAAAGCATTCCTTTCCTCATTTCCTATAAGCAGATAACCACAGAAAGGTTAGTTTTAAGAATAAAAATGCTTGCCCACCTTGCTGACAGACTGAGAGATTTACAAGTATGTGCACGGCGGAGACTGGGCACCACATTTGGTAACAGCACAGCATCTTTCCTTAAGAAGTGCTGATTTGTTCATGATGGGTACTTAAAACTCCGATCTGGTGTGAGTGCCCCACGTGCTTCTCTTTTCTCTTCCCCACAAGCACTAATTATTTTTGTTTCTAATGACAATACCTTAAAATGGACGTTACTGGCTTTGTGTTGGTGTTGGACTGGACTCAAAACAACCTTTGTTTTTCTCCTTTTTAAAAGGCCAACTTGGGAGAAGAGCTCATATCAGCCTCTAAATTTACACAAATCCTTTTCAGACTCTGACTTGAGTGATCTCTTAGGCTCCAGTATATCTGATGGGTCTGACAGAGAACTAGCATTTGAAGAAAACAGCAGTGAAACTGGATCTTCATCTGCATTTGCTAAAGAACGGATTGAAAAAATGTGGGACGGGTTCTCCGTGGAAGACTACATCTCCCGCACCAAACACAGCTTACCGAGCTCACCAGCCTTCAGAACGATACAGAAGAAACAGAAAGCATGGTCACCAAAAGTTACTGTCCCCAAGCCTTTCCAGATGACTATCAGAGAAGCTCGAAAAAAAGAGCAGAACATCAAATCGAAGTCACAGATTGAAATGGAAAATAGCTTAATGAAGAAGCAACTAGAGGAAGAAGCAGAGTGTCAGAAAAAATTCCGAGCCAATCCAGTGCCCGCTGCCATCTTCCTTCCGCTCTACCATGACATTGTGCAACGGAACGAAGAGCGCAGGAGGTCCGTGAAAGAGAGAAGCAAGCTCAAGCTCTTGGCTTCTCAGAAGCCATTTAAATTCATTGAGCGAGAGAAGCAAAGGAATGAAATGAGGAAAATGCAATTAAGAGATCTCTCCACACCTGAAAAGAAAACAGAACTGTTCAAAGCAAAGCCAATTCCTAAATGTGTTTATAGTCCAGCTGTTAGTGACAAACTGAAGGAGGAAGAGCTCTACAGAGAAATCCGGATCAGAATGAGAGCGGAAGAGTTGCTGCGTAACTCATCGCTACCCAACAGCAGACTGGCTTTAACAAATACCGCTAAAAAGAAGAAACACAAGTGCACTGAACCGAAGGAAAAAGAACATAAACCCAAGATCAAATCGAGCGTTCCGGATTTTGAAGTGCTACACCAGAAATTTCAGAAACGGCTCCTGCAACGAAAACAAGTGAAGCACCTCACAGTCTGTGAACCTTTTGATCTTCGTACTCCGTATATTCCCTCGAGTAAAGGGAAGATTTTGAAGGACATTCAAGATGATGAAGAGAAGCTGAAAGAAACACGCTGGCCCTACGCCTCTCCAAGGCGTAAACCTCAAATGAGACATTCAAGTGCGCATTCACATCTCTCAGGATTTGGAGCATCTAAATCGCCAAAAATCACGGAATTTTTTTTCTAAAAGCCATAAGGTGACTACTTCAGCAGTGCACTAGGTTCTATATATATAGTTCAAAAGTGGACTTCTCTTTCTACCTAGGGAGTCACTTCCTCCATGCAGTGAATATGAATTAGTACAGTAAGGGCTTAATTATAATATAAAATTTAAAATATTTAAATATATAACTTAATTACTATTTATGATTATTAAAGACACTTTTTTTTCAGAATGTCTGTAGGAAAGGGACAGATGACTGCTGTTCCCCGGGATGTGCCTGTTCTCACTCTGTTTCTGTCTTTTGAATCTCCTTTGCAAAAGCTTCCTTTGAAGTCTTGCTCTTGATTTAAAATGTATTTAGCCTTAGTTTATTTTTCCAATAGGAATTCACTTGAGGAAAAGAGAAAGCTGGAAGAACAACAAAAAAGGAGCAGAACAAAGCAGAAACAAAGAACGAAAAAACTTCAGAAAATTGTAACAGCTCGGGCTGAGGCCAATGACCCACATCAGAGCCTAGCTCAGGTGTCTAAGTCCAAATTAAAAACATTCAGGTATTTTGTTGCATTCCCCTGAATCCTGAACCTCCCATTCTACATTGTATGTTAAACATACAATGTAAAAAAAAAAAAATGCATAGGCTTATGTTTCCATAATTACACATTTGATTAATTATATACTGTACAAGCAACTAGTAAGAAAAAGTGAGCAAAGTTAGTATTTCAGCTGGGAAATTGTTGCCTTTTTTAAACTATTTCTGCTTCCTGTTCTTTTTAAGCCTAGAAAAAAAAAATCAGTCCTGTTTGAATGAGTCTTAGCAAGGTTTATAATCTGTCTTGGCATAATGGCATTGTAGCAGTGTTGTCCATTTAAGGTGCCGTTACGTCGAGACAGCGAGAGTTACTGACTCCTCTGGCCCCCTGCTGTTTCACACAGAAGCAGGATTTTTAATTTCCAGTAACCAGGCAACTTGCCAGTAACTGACAGTACCAGGGAAAACAATACAAGGGTAAGCAATTGTGAGATGTGCCTGGTTACAAGATTGATAGCTTGGACTAGCAACTTGTAAGTTTAAGGTCTTCAGAATATGGTCCAGGATAGAGATCTTTTTGAAATGAAGGTAGAGGCCAAGGGTTGTCTTTATGGCTGAGTCATAAGGTAAAAAAAAATAAGGTTTCCTCATTCTTCTTTTTTTTTTCTTTATGCGAGTCTTCTCTTTCTTTATGGCTAAAATAGAAAACTGCAGATTTATTCTCAATAGACTTTTATCTCTAGTCTGTTATAAGCAAATTTACTAAAATAATGCAGCACCACCTGCAAGACGATACTGCACACTGTTCCACCAGTAAACTGTCTAAGTGGTACTCAGCACCAGCCTTGCTTCAGGGTGAGCAGAAAGAGAAAACGTAGCAGAAACTGCTGCACGTGCATTCTCATACGCTAAAAGCGTGAAGCGCGGTAGCTCAGCTAGAAGAGGTGTTACAGTAGTAAGGATTTTGCTCAGCCACATGGGCAGTCGTGCCCAGCAGGCATTTGTGCCCACCTGCCAGCTCCCCTGAAGACGGCCAAAGTGACAGCAGGAGCTGTCTGGGAGAAGCAGGGCTTACACAGGGTCCCGGTGAGCAGAGAGGCAGGGGTAGAGATGTGGGTCAAAGAGGGCAGTCCCCTCTATTTTGTTAGAGCTTGAGAACAATTTCTTTTGCAACAGAACCAGCAGATACTGTTAATAACAGGAGCTTCATAATGTACTTGGGCAGATGATCTGCTGATGCTAGGAGAGAAGCAGAACAGAATTTGAGTTACAGTACCAGGAGGAACAAAAATTAAGAGTCTGTGGGTGTGTTTACAGATTTGATTTGAGTTCATTTAACAGCAAACTTCACGTTACAGTATTTAGCTTAATCAGATTTGAGGAGTATTGTAAAACACTCGTGCTTAATTCTTTTCTGCACATAAAATGATGCTGTTTCAAAGCAAGATTACTTCCCTAGTGCCGACACATTAAGGCTGGTACAAGTGCTTAACTTGATAATGCTTATTTCAGCACAGGCTGGGTAATAAGGTATATTAATGTAAGTGCTCTTCTAGGAGATAATTAGGTTTGTAGAAAGCCACCTGAGAGAGCAAGCGAGTAGCAACAAAGAAGTTCACTCCCTCAAAATGGGGCAGAACTTGCCTTAATGCAGAGCCAGATGGCAGAAACTCTGAGAACGGTGAGGGAAAGACACAGGAGGAGACAGAAGTGTCCTTCAGTGTCCAACTAGTGTCTAGCTAGAGCTGGCCCGGTACAGAGGCATCACCACAGAGAGCTGTGCTTGTCACACACCCAGGCTCCTGGGATTCTCTAGCGCTCGCTATGATCTGAGATATTTCAATTGAGGGATCAACCATTCCATCATCCTGCTATATTGACTGGGCCCTTGACAAACCAACTGGGGAGAAAAAGGGTACCACGAGCCAGAAATGTGGCCAACCCTCTTGTGAGATGGACTGGTAAAGCTGGAAGATTCTGATCCTAAAACTTTACCTTAAAGTACTGGCTTCTATTTAAGTAGCCTTTTTTTTTTAAAAAAAAAAACCACCCTAAGTATCCAACAAAACCCTAAGAATCCAAACTCAGCTGGGACCTCTTTCTGCTTATCCAAAGTGACTACTTGAAAGGCAGTTTTGTTCAGTACTTGCAGGCAAGCAATTGCTGTAAAAATGAGATGATACACCTTAGACCCTGTAACCACCATAAAATAACTTACCTTTTATGTATTTTTAAGTAGGACAATATTTAGTTTGTAATGAGCAATTTAGCTGCTGTAGAAAATTACTACTTGTGTTATAAATTAATAATAATTTCTCTTGTACTCTGTTTCTCCTAGGAATTATGAGAAGCAGAGAATGCAAGAATATTTGCAAGAGCTGCATGAAATGGAAGAAAGAGTAAAACAAAGGCCACTGCTTTTTGAAAGAGTCGCTCAGGTTGGCTTGCTGCTGCGTTACTTAATCTTATCTTCAGATACTGCACAAGACATTTGTAGTCAAACATTTTTAGAAGATACCTGAAAAATACTTTTCAGACCAGTACCTGTTGTAATTTCTGTTGCTCCATCTCCATGGAAATATTACTGATTTTTGTGACTGAGCATTCATGGTGCGCTTGCCGAGAGAACCAAGACAGCTGTTGTAAAGGTGGTGTTTGATTCAGTTACAGCATGAATAATTCTAAACACACTAAAAAAACCCAGCAAAAATGCAAGAGGCTTAAGCTGGGAGAGAAGCGGTTAGAAAATTCAAGTATTCTTAATGACTGCTGTGAAGCTCAGATATTTTTCTTCCTCGGTATATTTTTCTCTCTCTGTTTTAGTACAGCCCTGTGCTGGTATTGTGGTCCCTGACCAGTTTCCAAAGCCGGAGAGACAGCAAGTCATAGATCAGTGGTTCCCTTGTCCCTTCTGTCCCCATGGGTCTCCTGGTGTGCCAGCGCTGCGGGGCTGGAGCATCTGTGTAGATTGAAGGACAAGTCCTCCTCACTCAGATACTACCTGGAGGAACAGAATTGACACGCTCACGGTTTCAGAGGCAGCGACACACAGCCGTGTGTTTTGTTAAATAGTGCTGTAAGGAGGAGAATCAGTTCTCCTTTTTTAGGGCATTTTTGCTACGTGTCCACACGGTCTCCCTGCTGCCTTAATAGCGATATACAGAATATAGAGCTCTTTATTAGGCAGCAGGTGCAGGGAACAAACCAGATTTAAATTTAAATTAGCATAGAAAAGGAAAATCTGGTATAAAGTTTTCAAGTACTGTTTTGCCATTCTTTACTGCAGCGAATAATCATTCAACTTGTCCGATGCAATTAAAGAAACAGACTATAAATATAAATAAAAGTATCAAAAGACAGGCTTCTAATGCATTTAGATAACACGTAACTGTTGTGGTTTTCCTACAGAAAAACGCCCGAATAGCTGCAGAAAAGCATTATTCTAACAGACTGAGAGCTCTGGGGATATGCCCAGAATTTGTTTCAAAGAAAGGACAAACAACTAAATTGCTACAATGCTCCAGTGCTGAAGATTTTAATAACTTCACTAATGCCAGAGAAAGGTAGAGATTATTAAAACCTTTTTTTTCGCCACTACATACCTAGTAATAAGAAAGTAATTTTTGATATGTGGGCTTATTTGTTTGAGGTTTTGTTGTTTTGTTTGGTTTTTTTTATTTGGATTGGGTTTTGTGTTTGGTGTTGTTTTTTTGTAATTATTTGTAGTATTTGACATATCTATGGAGTAAGCTTTATTAATGCTACCATTAGTATGTATTTTTTGTTTTTCCTGAATTAAATATTTTTTCATAAAACAAAGGAGAGTACTCGATATGTTAATATAGTGCATTTAAAAAAAAAATGAAGAAAACCATTTTTCATCTGTTCCTTTCACCAAAAATTCTGGCAGGTTGGTAGTAAGTCACTTCATTCTCCATTACCTTTACTGAATTTTTAAAATAAGCCTTATAAAAAAACCCACTTTTCAATATCCATTAGGTGTTATGATTTAAAAGGAAGCAGAAATTAAAAAATTGAAATATATAAGCAATACTGTTGAGTTATTTTCTAGCATAAAAGGAGACTCTAATGTCCCCCTTTCCCCAGTTCTGTCCCAGCCAAGTCCACCAGGATTTGTCCTAGATTACCTGAAGATAGTTTAAAACCTCCTGGGGAAAGCATCTTACCTGAAAATAAAATCACACATGCAACTTGTCTTTTCAGTGTCATCAAGGATCAAGTGAAAGAAAGGGAATCCTTTGAGGAAGCAGCTGGGAACAGTCCTCAGTCTGAGCCATGGTGTGAAGAGGAGGGAGAGAAGAGCAAAGACATCGCTACCTCCCCCCGAGATGGACAGTCCAGTGAGCCAGAGGATGAGGAAGAGGCATCTTCTGCTCACCAGCCTTGCCATGCAGGGGAGGTTGGGTCCAGCCCCTCTGACCAGCACCATGAAGAAGAGGTGGAGGACGAAGAGGAAGAGAAGGAGGAGGAAGAGGAAGCAAAGGCAAGCCAGTCACTTGAACATTCCCAGGAGGAGGAAGAGGATCAGTCAAGACCCAGCTCGCGTTCTGACCAGTCCTGCAAGCGTGAAGAGGAAGGTCTGTCTGACCCTGAAGCTGAGGGGGCCTATAGATACGAGGATGAAGAATATGAAGATGATGATTCAGAAGAGAAAGCCAGTGATGAGGAAGGTGACTGAGAGGCCAGCAGGATGGCCTCAAGAACCTATTTCATTGCTGGCAGTGAAATAGACACCAAAGAAAAAACTGACTTTTTGCCCCTAATAGAAAATTCTGTGAATTTAAACCTCTTAGGTTAACAGTCTTTCTAGCACAGAAATTTTGTCTATTTTCCAGCAAGAAGACGATGAAGTTATTAATCTCCAGCAAGAAAGTAATTTAATTTTATATAACTCTGCTTTAGTCTTCTGTGACATTAGCGCATAAAATGAACTGCAACCACTGTTTAATAATAATGTCTTCCAGGCTGTGTTGGCCAGTACTGAGGTTTTCACATGTCCAGCCCTTTCTCCATGCTAGCAAAGCCAGATGAGAATTTAGGAGTAGTCTCAAACATTTCACTACTTCTGTGGTCTCTTCCTGTGATGGATAAACCACGGTTTCTTGTGCAAGACCTCTGATTGTTTGTAGCAGAGCAGCTGCTGGGAAGATCACTTGTGCAGTTAGACAATATGGCCAAATTAATCTGTCCAGTTCCTCCCTCCTCTTCCCATGGGGTTTCTCTTCTGCCCACTTAAGTGAGCTGCGTCGGCTCAGAAGGGATTACTGCTTTTAGCAAGTCAGCTTTGTCCAGCTCAAATATTAACACTATTGCAGTCGCTGAAGGCGCTCCCTATAGAGGAGAAAATGCCCAGACTACCCCAAGAGCAGCCAGTTAAGCTTTCGCAGATGTTTTTGACGCTTACAGACAAGTAAGGTAGAACAGTAAGTCGGTAGGATGAGATGTTTTGCTGCAGATCTTGTATTACTGTCTAACCAAGCCCCAAGACTGTTCTTTCAACTCCGTTCTGGTTTGTAGATGTAAAATCATTCTTCATTACATAACAACAAATGCTGATAGACATATTCAGAGAGAATCTCACTGCATCAGATAAGAATGTAGCCCAGCAACTCCAGGTGCATGAAAGTACAGAAGGACGTGCTTTAGTCACTTTGCTTAGGCACTCAGTACTCGGGACTTCAGCTGCTACACAGCAAAGAATGCAAATGGAAGGTTTGGGTTTGTTTGGGGGTTATTTTTCTTCTTTCTATCAGTAGTACCTTCTCCTGCTGTTATGAGCTTTCTTGCTAACCTGTTGTTTGCAGTGTTACGAGAAATAATAAAAGAGTGCATCTACGTAATAACAGACCAAAAGCAAGGATTTCAGACAAGCTTTGCCCGGACAGAGTACAATGCAGCATTGCCCACATGCTCAAAACATGTTTATTGATTAGTAAGTGCATTTGTTAAGAGGTTTGCAAAAGCATCTGCAATGAGTGACAATCAGAATTTTTATCTTTTATTATTTTCTTCCACGCTGCATGTAAGAGCACTAAATCTGTTATTATTTCTTCCTCCTGACTTTGAGAAGCTTTGAGAAACTGCAATGTTTGGAAGAATTTCTGATTATTACTTCTATTTATTTTTAAAGGGTGAGCAAAACTGATACGAATTTGAAACTTATTTTTTTACTTGAATAAAATACCCATTATATATATGTCCTACATGAAAGTATTAAGCATTACTTCACAAGGAAAATCAGGTTACTGTATCAAATAACATCTGACAACCCCACAATACAAACTCAAAGTTGATTTTCTCGTGCTTGTCAGTATTCTATAATTCCGAAGAGCTCTACAATATGTTATTGAATTTATAGTGACTGATGTTTGTTTCTTTAGTAAATCAAATCTGCTTTGAAAGAAGGCAGGAGCTCTAAATTGTTTTTCTTAAAGATTATTTGGAGAGATTTCACACCAGAAAAAATTTAAATCCATTTTTAAGATTTAAGATCCAACAGCATTCAACTAAATATTCTAAAAGAACATATATGTATAATTGTTGAACTATGAAGAAGAAAACTAAAAATATTACTAAAACTCTTTAAGGTTTTAGAAGGCATTGGAGACCTGTGTATAACTTAGATTAAATTTTTCACTGAATTTTTACTATATTAACCTTATTAAGAACAATTATAGAAGACAGCTAAATAAGATATAACAAAGACAAGTTAGTGCAGCTTTTGGAGATTATACTGGAACAATTTTTAGCATTTCTGAAAAAGCCAAGCAGAATCATGTGGACTAATGGAATCCAGTTGATACGGTTTACCTCGATTTCCAGGAAGCTTTTGACAATCAAAGGATCTTAAAAGAAACCGACCTTATTGTAGGCTTAATGAATTAGTAATCAGTTAGAAGTTCAGGAGAGCAAAGGTCAATTTTCACAGAGTAAATGCAATTATTCAGTGAGATAAAAACTGTCAGCATACTCAGATGGGAGCTGTAGTGTCCATCCCAAAGAGTTTGCTGAGGCCACAGAGTTCTTCAGTGCTGGGAAAAAAAAGCAGCTGACTGCAAAGAACATGCTGAAGGATCTCATGGTAATGGCAGAGAAAGAACAGCTAGAGTTCAGTTTTAATAAGTGCAAATAAATGCATGTGAGAGTAAAAAAAGAATTCTAAACTATACTATACAGTGAAAAAAAAGTAATTCCATCTTGAATATTGCATACAGTCCTGGTCTTCCCATCTTAAAAGGGATTTATTATGTGACTGGAAGACAGCAACAAGAATGGTCAAAGATAAAGAAGGGTTTTCTTATGACAAGGTAGTTTGGTTTTCATGTGACAGTATATATAGGATTCTTTAATTTGGAAAAGATACAAGAGATCAAACTATGAGACATTAAAGGAACCAGTTATTAAAATAATTTTGAGCGGCAGAGATTTTCAAAGTGAAAGAGTCGTGAAACTTAAGTCAGAAAGACTGTTCAGAAATTGCATTACAAACGAGAAAGCGATAAGCATTCCAGTAAGGAACTAAAAAGGAAAGAAATGCCAAAGAAGAGTGACAGGTTACAGAACAAAAGTGGGGAGAGACAGGTCAGGACAAATTAAACCTCATGAAACAAAGTACAGCAGTGAAAAATTCTTCGAAGAAAGAATGAGAGGCATGGACACCACACACTGTCATGAGATGAACAATAGGCTGGCCTAAAAACTAAAAACATTACTTGATTTTTTTAACTTTTTTTTTTTTGTAGTCAAGAGGATGATTTAAAAAAGTAGACAAAACAGGAAGAAACACATAGAATGATGGCACTGAAATGAAAATTACTATTTTTAATGAAAAAAAACCAATAACCTCAACATGAAAATCCAAATACAGGTGAAAGGTTTTGGTAAATTACCAAGATGCAGAACAGTACCATAGAAAAGGAGAGTAGAGTATGTAGTACTTTGTCAGAACTCAAAATTAACATGGACGGGGAAAAGAAGTAATTTAATTCACAAAAGATGACATAATAGTATCATTTTAAGGCAAGAAGCTCATTAAAGGAGAAATGAGTAGTTACCCTTTCAGGGAAGCTACTTAGCAGGAGGGAGATGAATAGAAAAGTTTCTCACAGATTACTGAATATTCTGTCTTTAATATTTTAATTAATGGCAAAAACACAAATGCAGAAACATGTTTAAAAATTTGCAAAGAAAATGAGAAAGGTGTATCCAAAAAAATGGATTAAAGATACATGGGAAGAAGAGGAGAATTTTGCATGTAGATTGTAGTATTAAATACGAATGTGAAAGTAGCGAAAGAACCTTTCTTTAATGGGAATTCATCACCTGAAACTGGAAGGGGAGAGACCTGGATGACTGTGATGGTCATAAGGTTGTGGGACCTGCCCTGTAATAAGCCATCTGCATTTATGGAACTTGAGAGACATCAGAAATGGCTGGTTTTAGCAGCAGCAAATTCCACGTGAATAGGAACATCACTGCCAAGTAAACTAAATAGAAATACAAGGCCCACAGAGAAATAAAAAGTTAAGTTACAGCCAGATGCAGTGTCCTGGGTGACTGTTCAGCACCCACGCCCATCTAACTAGCACTAAATACAGTCCTAAAATATTAATATTGACAGGTTGTAAATAAAGCCTATTTTTATATATATATAGCTATATATATTTATGTAGATAATTACATGTATTGTCGTATTTTGAAGAGGCCAGAAAAATCTGGGTGCCAAGCAATGTTGTGATATTATTCTCAGAAAAGTCAGTGACAATTTTGAAAGCTAATATTAAGTGTCACCAGAATGCTGCTTCTAAAAACAGGGCACACAACTCTGAAAAAAACAGGCTCCGAAAGCATGACAGATGCCCAGCTGGACTCCAGTGGGGCTATGGGAGCAAGAAGAGTTGCTAGTATGGACTGTTACACAACATCTTGAGCTTGGCCAAACCAACACCCCTCTCTCTTCAGGGCGTGTTTTTTTTCTTTTGATTTTCCTTCCAAATTTCCCAGCATTTCTCGAGTGTTCTTTGTACGTACAACACTGCTTCCTCTAGAAACCACCTTCTCGTGTACATAATTACCGTAACATCAAGCAGGAGGTTACATTCTCTTTTCCTTTCACAGGAAAAAATTATTACATCATTACCTTTTTACAGCTGCACGAAATGCAGAGGATAACAAAAGAATTTGACTTCTTGAGGAAAATGCTTCAAGTCATCACTATTTTGAAATTAGTTAATTAAAGTCTCATTTAGAATGCTCAGGCTTCTCGAATGGCAGAAAGCAAAATGTTTGAGCTTAACAGATAACAGGCACTCTAAAGATCAAAATAGATATTAAAAAAGTTATTTCTAAAAGTGTGTCTGTACAGTTGTGCACAAATTTAAGTCAAGCCTCAGTTTTGTGTGCAGAACACATTTGTCCAGGAGTACTAACGAGTGCATTATTGCAAGATACAGCAGCTGTGTGCTTACAAACATTAACAGGCAGATAAAATTAGAAACAGTTAGATGTCTGTCCTTCTCACCCTTCAGTGGAATTTCAGTCTTACATCTCTGGTTGTATAATATTTTGATAGTTACTTGGCTTTATGAGAAGGGGGAAAAAAAAAAAAGCCCTTCCATACTCCAGAGAAACTCAGAATTGCTTCTTTCTTCAATAGGCATGCCAGGCATTTGAAGAATG